ACATTACCGGGTACCCACCCCACTGAATAACCCCAGCCCCCGGATTTAGTTGAATAGCCCTGATTTAATATATTTCAGTTTAAGGGTTTTTTTAAACATTTGCGTTATGTTTTGCTCTCTTAAAGTGATATATTTGAAAAACAAAACAAAAGAATAAAAAAATAAACAAAACAATGTTATCTTTTAAAGTTGTGCATCCGATCTGGATGTAAATACCTGAAAATAAAAGCTGGAATTTTAATCTCTTGTCTCGTATTTATCTTTTAAAGTCAAACCCGGATGCTTGTAGTGGGCAGTAAAAACAAAGGAACTGGTTTTGTGGTTCTGCTTTTGGTACGTTTAACTCTTACACACACTCTTAAAGAAATTATTCTAAATATAAAATATATATTTCAAAGTCAACCATTTTGACGTGTCAGTCGGATTAAATCCTGCCATCTGCTTTAGTCCCTATATAATCAGTCAAGATATAAGTTTATCCCCACATAGTTTGCGTCTCAGTACGTGAAGCAGAGTCAGTAATTCCCTGCCTTCAGATTTATGATGGCACCTGTCTGTTATCGCAGATCAAAAATGTTTTTCAGTGTAAACTGTTCCAGCAGGCTTGGGAATTCCCATCAAATCCAGCTCCAGAATCCCCCCAGATCATCTCCCAACTTTGTTCTTGCCATTAAAGATAAAGCTCTGCAATCCTCGGCAACCATTACGCTTAATGATCTGCTTGAACCAGCAGTGCTCTGCCACGGCTCAGACCCGAGAAGAAAGGCGACTTCAAACGGCACGTAGCCCTTCACGCTCCGTTTGGCTTTGTCCCGCCTTATCGCGCTCAGTTAAACCGTGCACAAGATACGATAAAAGAAGAATTAAAAGTGTTTTTCTGTGTACGTGGAGGATCACTGTGTCTGTGTGCAGAAAACATCCAGTCTGAATGAAACCCAACCAGCTGATTCTTGTCCAGACTTGTCCGCATCGGGTTTTTACAAACGTTCCAGTTTTAATTAAGATGATCTTAATGCTCGTTTTCTGGGTTTTATTGTTTTAGTTTTTTGAACAGCTGTGTCGTGTCACTGAGTTCAGTCAATATGATAGTTTTATTCTCATGTTCACGTCCTGTACGTCGCTCAGCTTCGTATCTAGTTTGCCCACATTCTTCGGCCCGGAGGCACATTTTGTTTACCGTCTAGACGAGCTCGCTTGTTGCGTCTGTGTTTTTTTTTTTTATTTTTTTACCTGCTGGTTGAGGGTCCTTTTCTTTTATATTTCCTCCCTGTCTCATTATGGATTCTTGCTGCCGTGAATGGTTCTGAACACACAAGGTCAAAGATCTCATAAGTATTCACGTCTCCGTCCTGACTCAGGTCCGCGCCGGCTGAGGGGATACAAACCTGACGGCGCTGTCTGGTTATTTTATATTTCAAACATGATTCGTCGCTTTTCATTCTTTATGAGGAGATTTGCATCTGAATTGAAGCTATTTAGAGACAGAACTCTGATCAACATTTAAATTCTCTCATGTATTAGTAGTCCAAATGTGAATGTGTCTCAGAGAAGATACTTTACACTAGCAAGGGCTGAATAATTAGCTACAACTGTAAGATCAAAGCTAACTGATACAATTATTAAAGGGGAAAGTTTAATGCATTTAACATTCAAACAATCCCCAACTTATTTAATGACGCTGACTGAAAAACAGGCGATTCTCCCACACTAAATTATGTTCTTACAATCGTTTTGAAGAAATTTATAGGGAGTAGAGGTTAGTACTGATGAAAACACACCACTATATTATTAGGTTTTCCTTTTTATAATGTTGGCAATGTTTAATCTATTATGTGTTGATTGATATAGAGTAGTTACGTGTCCGAATTATAAACAACACATAATTAAAACGTCATTTTAACATTAGATTGAGGTTTTTGTATGAATGCCTGTGATTCAGCCGTAGGCCAGTAGGGGGCGAACTCAGGCATTGAAGAATCTGTATAAATTGATGTATTTCCTGGTTGTAAGTCAGTGTGGTTTCCTTGTCAGCTCGGTGACAGATTAAACCTCACTCAGTTCCAGAATTCTGGTGTTGTATGGTTTTATTCATTCCTCAAATCATTTTATTTAACAATGGTGTTTTAATCTTGACCTCAGCCGTATTGAACATATATTTTCTTACAGTTTGGAGATCTGTCCTAAAAATCCAATTAATTAAACAGTTTTTTTTGTTGTTGAAAATAACTTTTAAAACAAGTTTCTTAGTCATTTAGCCACCCCTCAAAATGCCCCCCTCTTTTCGGAGGTTACGTTCTTAGAGGACCTGTGAATTGCGGAAAAATGCGATTTTTATAAACTCCAAATTTGCTCCCAATACATAACACACAGCATACATAAAATTAATTCAATTAAAATAAACATAAAATATATGGTTATTGTAGCGAACACATTTGGGTGAGAGCTAAGCTGCTAGCGGCTAACACCGTAGCAGCACTGTTAGATGTTGTTAGATAGCAGAAATGCTGCGCTCTGGGTGGAGCGTAAGCAAAGGACACACGTCACATACTGTACTGTTCCATATTTTATATGGAACCAAATTTATGTTAATTTTTATGTTAGAAAATTATATTTTTGTTAATAATTCAGCTTGAAAACTGACAAAAAAAAAAGGTTCCATACTGTACATACAGTGTGTTTACTGTACTGGTTTCCGCAAAAATGCGGGGGTTTCCGCAAATTACTAGGTTTCATTGAAAACTCTGTCAAAGACTGAGTCTTCAAATGGTGAACCGCGATTTTGCGGGGGTTCATTGTAAAACAAAACTTTTTTTTTACGCAGACTTTAACGTTCCTGTGACGTGGATATACTTTAAATGCACATTCAGCCTGGAAGGACTCACACAAGACAGACTGAAATTAGAAGTTTTATTGACATGACTGGACCGACATGGTTATTGACATGAATGGCATCAGAGTTTGGCACTCGGACCCCGGCAGAGGACGAGAGCACTGAGTGATGCTGTAATCTCGTAAGAGTTGCTTTGAGTTAAGGGGTAGGAG